AAGATTAAAATCGATTCTCAAGCGACATAAACGGTAACGTCTACGAATTGATTACAGACAAACGAGGGATCGACTAAGCTTTTCGCTAATGAAACTTCACTTTGGTGGCTCCATCAATATTTTACGAGCTTTAGGAAAAAAACATTATTTTAAAATATCACCCTAACCGCATCTGATACCTTAAAAGAGTCCCCGTCCCCGATAACGCGCAGAGTTAATATCGCCGAATCGGGGAAAAGCTCTAATATTCACTTCGTCCCAAATTTAATATGGGAGAGGCGCGGGGTATTAAAAATTTTTAGCGAAAGTTTCTTGCGTGTTTATCACTGCGGTTAGAAAGTAGGTTGTTATGAACCCTTTTAAGACAGCCCGGTCCGGATTAGGGGGTTCGATTTCTAAATCGGATTAAAGCTTCATCTGGGCGAGAATAAATTGTTACACAGAGACAGTAGCCCCTTTCTAATCCCCTCTCATTGTCGACCATCATGTGTTGTTTCAAAGCGGCGACACAATGAAATACGATAATCTTTGTTTTCAATGCCACTGTGTTTCAGATTTACCCATCTAAGGAGATTACCTTGGCGCTACTTTTCATAAGTTGAGATACTTCCAGCCAAATCGCTGCTGATTTTGAAACGCTCGTACGCGTCAAACCAAATTACCTCGTTTGGCGTATCATTTCGGAAAAATAGCTGCGCCAAATCAAATTTTTGCTTTATTTTATCTAAAATTCCTACATTATGTAGGGAGAAATTTACTTGCCAGAAGATCTGATTCCCCTAAACCCGCTTCTTACCAATAAACTTTCATACACATAAGAGAATATCGTCTGGCGCCTCATTACCCGATTCCACTCCTAAAGCGTTCTCGTGCCAAGCAATTTACTTTAAACGCATAAAATCTAAAAATAACAATTTATACGATGCGTCTGTTCCGTGACCTTTTTTTTTTCTCATTTACACAACCATCATTTGAAGGAGATGTTAGGAAAGGTGAATCTTACGAAACTTTTCTTAAATACCCATTTCGCATAAATTTTCCACTTTTCTTTTATTAGACGAACTTTCCGTTACAGCGTAAAGTATAGGCACGGATTGTGGGGGTTGAGAAAACCACTGCATCTCTTCAATTGGATTTCGTTTTTCATTTTGAGCGATTACGTTATGGTAATTTAAACAGTTGTTAGGCCGGATTATTTGTCCATTCTACTGACAGCACTGAATTTACAATTAATATTAGTTCATATAATATGCATGCAAATTTTGTTTCTAAATCTACATGATTAACTTCCACTAGTATCCACTAAGCTTTTTTCGACGTTTATGCAAATTTATTCAAATTTTGTGCTAATGCGAGCCGATGTGTAATTTTAATGACAACAATTTATAATACTAACCAACCCTTGCCAAAATAAGGCGGGGAGAAATTTTTCGTAAACGTTTAATAGATATATGACGATACTCAATTACAGCAATTTCTTGGTTTTGTACTGCCCCTGAGACTTGGTCTTCCCTTACCTCTTCTCCGTACGAATAGCGCTACGCATAAAATATTGCGAAATAGCAATGTTAACGTCTGACACGGAGGCAATCAGATATTAAAACTGAAATGAATACTCAATACGAATCAACTTGACATTAGAAAAAGCAAAATTGTGATCAACCAAAGGATACAGCATCAAGTATAAAAGCATAAACGTCACGTTAAATTTAAATACTTTTCGATGCACGAATAATAAAATTTGTATTAATCTAATCAATTCAAAACATAAACAAAATAATATGAGCCGATTCTTCGGAGTAAAACAAATAACGTGACTAAAATTTCTAGATATCGACTTCGGGCAAAGCATTGGTAACCTCAAAAATTTGCGTACAAAGCAACGGTAGCTAACATCGGTAAACCAATTAATATAAATGATAAGAAACGTAGTTAAACCAATACAAATGAACTCTCGAAGTCACACATAAGTAATCGTGGTAATCTATCTCAAATCGAATTTCGTTAAGTATATTTTTCAGCAACGACACAGTTTTAGCGTAAGTAAAAACAAAGATATCGTTACACGAGTAATGTTCTCTAATAATCGCGGTTCTAATTCAACAACCTGCGTGTGTAAGTAGGTCTCAAGTAATAGTGGGTAGAATTGAAGTAGAATTTTCCTAGCCGGTAATATAGAAACTCAGCTATGGCGTGACACGCGAAAACCAGTTCTTAATAAGATGGCGAGTCCAAATAAAACTGCTATATCATCCACTTACTACGTAATATTCAGGTAGATCAACGTAAAAGGTACTCCAAAAGAAAAACTTAATAAAAACAAGGAGAAAACTTTGAGGGAAGGCCCTACAAAAATTAAAACAGACTGCGTAATAATGTAATATGCCTCGTATTGTTTAAATGCAAATACAGATCCGTAAAAACGTTTCAATGGAGCCACCACAGACATCAAAGAGAGAAACAGAAACCATTCCAAAGATAATGTGGTAAATCCAAAGCAATACCCTTACGTTAAACGCAAAGTCAGAAATTTAATGGCGTAGTGATTAACGCGAAAGCAGAAACTTCACTGAAAAGGAAGACGTAGAAGCGATAGCATTAAGTACGGGAAGGTATCAAGCACGAACTCTAACAAGACAAAGAAGTAAGTTAAAGCAGCCTCTAATACTAGAATGGGGTCTTACGGCAAAACAAAGAGCTAAGTAAGAGAAACTTATACTCAGATAATAACAAATTAACTACAGGAATTAATTTACATCTAAAACTAGTACACTACAAACGAGGTGTTTCGTTTAGCTGGCGTAAGAACAATGAATATTATTACCAGCGAAAAGGAATTAAATAGGCCCAAAAATCAAATAGTTACTTAAGCGGGACCTTTCTTAGTCTGTCGTTGTAAAGAATCTATACTTAAAAGCTGACTTTTATCTCAAATGGGTCTCCTTAACTTTTCCGTACCAAAGCGGGATAACTCGGTTACCCCAGAGATAATTTTTCGCTTAAACTTTTCTTTCGTGACTTTTAGGGCATTGTCCTTCCAGGTAATCCTAGCTCGGTCAATTTTACGTGAATTATATGTCAAATTGGCGTTCAATTACCTAAAGTAAATAAGGTTATAACCGTCGAGGTTGGTCGGTTATCCGCCAGAACAGAATTGGAAAATTCGAAACTGTTATTATGTAGACAAGCGGGCGAAGTTTTAAGGCACATAGACGAACGTACAGAAAGTCCAAATGACCAAAATTTAATTAGTTAGTCCCTTCATCCATTGTCTACCTATTACTGAAAACAGAATTGGAAAATTCGAAACCGTTCGCGAGTTATCATGTATACAGACGGACAAACGGGTAGAAAGTCCAAAATCATGATCTCACTCTTTGTCTCTTGTTAATAAAATGTAAACAGAAAAAAAATAAAGTCGCTTCAGTTGTTAACAGACAACATTTAAGCTATGTTCCGTTTTACTTCAATCAAATCGAATTTACGATGAATTTTCTTAAAGATTCGAACCTTTAATTTTTACATAAATGGAATCGCAATCAAGGACGAACTAATTCAGCACACCAGTATATTTTTACCATAAGTTACCATAAAGTGCTATTGCTTTTAATTCTGAGTTCAATTTCCTCTTTGGTATCACGGGCAGCAAACAACTACTCTGAACTTTTGTTCATAGATCTTTATGGTAACAAAAATATACTGGAACGCTGAATTGGTTCGTCCTTGATGGCCACAAAGGATCCGTGTTTAATATCACCATTAAACAGGAAAGGGCGCTGGCCAAATATTAGAGAAATAGTTAATTGGGAAAGAAAGTAGGATTAAGAAATAAAATTACATTGCATTATTTGTAAATGAGGACAATTTGCACACAACATTGACTAGGTTAGTTTTCAATTTGCAATTAACAGATTGCAATTAATTTGCCAATTGTTGTATAAAATTTTGTATATAAACAACGTAAAATGTAGAATAAATTACTATTGACACAAAAGTCGTTTAGTCACTCTACGTGAGCACGGGGCTTCCAAGTCTTTAAAATTCGGTGCATGAGACTGTGTACCACCCTGTGCTTACACTAAATAATATTGGGAGTAATCTCAATATTGTTCATATTATGCAACAGAAACACGACTACAGAAAGACCACGTTTTTTCTTCTTTTTGATTACACAATAATCCCCATTTTTGTTCTGTAAGTTCCAAAAGAAATACGTTATAATAATTTACTTATACTCGGTTTCACAGGTTAATCTCCTCATTCTTTATTAAAATAATTAACGTCGTTTTTCATAGGACATCTACTAATTAAGTTAACAATTTTTCTTTAAGAGCCAATCTTATTGGAGGTACTCCATGAGTAAAAGTAAAACCAGGCTGCCCTTAAAAAACCACATATGGGAATTGTGCTTCTAGCCTCATCGCTGCATAATTTTTCGTAACCAAAGGTGGTTACATGAGCCCTAATTAGTATAACGTTTACTCTGTTACCTACGAATTAATCTCGCTCCGTTTTCCAGAGCCCATAAAAATACAATGCCCTATAGAATTCAAATGACCCAGAAAAGACGATCGTTAATTCCACCAACTGTTTATTTATTTATTTTTGGTTTTGATTGGGTTTTATTTTTAGAGGGCAGTTGCAGAGTTAGTATAGATTATTTAAACATAACCTATGAAAGAAATAAAAATACAAAAGTTATTGTATAGTACATGCGAATTGACAGGAAGAATCGCATAGGATTTTCGGTTCGGCTCGCATTCCGAGATCATCAGACTTTTAATCCGGCTCATATGCAATATGGCCCTGACCCTTGAACTCGTAGAAATAGATTGGCGAAGATTTGATATCGCGGTCTCTTTTCGTTCTCGAGTTAGACGAGAAACAGACCGACAGACCGACAAAACCTTCACATAAGGGGAATTTTTTTTCTTTCGAAAAAAATACAAGAGCTATGCTATTAGGAAATAGGAAATGGAAGGAGATATTAAACCCTTGCATTGAAAATAACATACAATTTATTTGTTTTGCACTTTCTGCATACCATAATAACAATATTGATAATGATTAATAATAATGCAAGATGCAATATTGAAGTGTGCCCTATGACCATTTCACGTTACCTACCGTGTTCCGTAAGGTTGAATACTTTTCTGTGTCTTTAATTTTAGGAAGGAGTGAAGTTACTTATACTTGTAGATCTCCCGTATGATGCAATTACGCATATTAACTGCCTGTTGCCCAATTCCGTCACCCTCCAAACTCTTGCAACCCTCGTAGGCCTCTAGCGCGATCTTATTCGGATTATCGGCGTTAGGCTTGAGGAAACGTACGGGTCCCTTCTCAACGTACCGTACGATTTCGTCCTTGACGAATTTGCCATCCTGAACCATTTTTAGCTTCTCGAACATGCAACGAAACAACTCAAAAACGGAGGGATCGGTACTGACAATGTAAAAGTCCTTGTCCATCACCGTCGGTAGGATAGTTTTGTCAAAATGAACCTCCTCAATGCATTCGACGCTGATCGGATCGCCCCAGTAGTTGCGCTCCTCATTCGAGAAGACCTAAGGATAGGAGAGTACTGTAAAGAGGTACCTAAGTATCGTAACCAACCTGGTGGACAGCGCAGAGGATGGTGAGAAATCGAACGGCCGCGTACATTATGTTTGTTTTGTCACTTTTACAATATTGTCAGTGATGGTGAACTGCACATATTTATACACGTTCTTCTCTGATAATCCCTATTTATAGAAGGCACACACTGACCTCAAGTGATTCCTCGTTCCCTGTAATAAAAACCATTTTATGACGAAATCCAAGCCGATTGCCTATAAACTGGTTATGCAAAAATCGTCCCGAGGGAACACCCCGGTCGAATTTGTTTACTGAATCCCATTTTTAACCATTGAGTTCTACTTTAAAGGTCGCAACCATAAATCTTGATGGGAGTATCAACAAGTCAACTACCTATAAGAGACCTGGGTAAGGGGAGAGGGGACCACAATGCGTTGGACCAATTGTGGTTCATAAATAAATCTAGCTGAGAGAGGTTTCACGGTTTTCTCTCTTCCACATGCTCAGTGCAACCATAGAGTAAATAACTTATGTGTGGGGCAACTAAGGTATGGAAAATTAACATGTCGAGGAAACAAAAACACAATGATTATTATTATATTCTTGTTTTTCTCGAGAATGGCCCTCGGCCTCAATCCGAAGATAAAAATTATCAAAATAAGGTTGAAGGCTAATCTGAATGTATAAATAAGCGCCGAATGGTGCTTGTAAAACTACATTAACGAACTAAAATGGGTATCCCAATTTGGTGCCTTGCGCTTTTGCCTGTGATACTTCATGTTCGATGCAACATTTGGAAACCGCCAGGATTAATATTTTCCACATTTTAGGCGGCACCGCTTCCAAAGCAATTTCAAAACGAACACATCATCCACTGCGTAAAAGAGTTGGGAATTGAGAAAGATGACATGGAAAAGGTTATGGACGAGAATCATCACATCGTCGACGGTCCAGTGACACGTTCTCTAGCGAGGTGTTACTTTAAAGAAGAGGGTCTTTTCAAAAATGGCGAATTTGTTACGGAAACGGTCGTCGACTTCAACACCAATGTAACCGTACCGTTTTTCAAACCCGAAGCTCAGAACCCTAGGGAAGTGGCTGAAAGGGCATTTGAGGTATGCAAAAATGTTAACGATGGAGACACAGGAGAAAGACTTGTTCATTTCTCTAACTGTATGATATCAGAACTACAAAAGTAATTACGTGTTATATTTCGATTAACCATTTGTAAATCAAGCAGACTGATTTTATTAAAGTTGATCGATACGATATTGTATGATGTTATGTTCTTTTTAGACTGCTCTGGGGGCAGTTTTTTGGGGTAGAAGGGAAGCCCTCCTTGAAAAGCTCGAGTAGCAAATGGGCCAGATGTTAAGCAGATAAGCACGTTAGCGGGTGTTCAAAATCACAAACATTAATATAGATGAATACTCGAAACGTTGACAAGTGTAAGTATACAGGGTGTCTCGTGACTCAATGGACATAGCTCAACACCACATTCCTTGCTTAATTTTAAGTCGAAATTCCCTTATACACTTTTTCTAAAACTTATGGGCAAATTTTAACAATAAATCAATCTAGTGGGCCGTATAATTGTTTTGTCATATTCTTATGGTTTATTCTTTGACGTTGTAATTTTAATATTAAATTGATATGGCTACGTTTTCAGATCAAGAATATGCGGATATTCATTTTATTTACAGCGCGAGGGCAACAAAGTTTCAAGATGCTGTAACGGAAATTCAAGAGCGGCAGTGAGGGAATATCAGCGAAGGTTTCCTTGTTGAATTTAAAATTATAACACTGTCACCTAACAATATGGCAAAACAATTTTGCCCTTCACTTCTTAACTATTAACTTTTAGACAAAGTGTATAAGGAAATTTCGACTTAAAATTGAGCGAGGAATATGGTGTCCATCGAGTCACGGGACACCCTGAATAGCTGCGGAATCACACATTTTAATTTCAATCCAAATATGTCATAAGGTATAAATAAATAAATAAAATGTGTCAGTTGCATCACCATCTGTTAAATTCAGCTGACCGTTCGTTTCCATTGTAATAATTGAATTAACAATAAAGAATTATATTGGAGAGAAAAGGAATAAAAAAACTCGAAGAAGAAAATGAAACAAAAGAAACATAAAAAATAAAAAACAACACTACAAAGGGAGGAGTGATGGAAAAAGGACAAGAGAAGGAGATAACGATTAAAATGATTAAAAGAAAACTTACACGTAAAGGTGAATATAAAAGAGGCCAGAATATTTGAAGTAAGGTAGTCATCATCAAAAGAAGGGGGAGGTTGTGGGGGGAAATGCAAGGATAAACGACAGCGGGATATGCATAGATGACGAGTTGAAAATAATATAAAGAAAGAAACCGCGTGCAAAGAGAAATTAAGAGAGGTTGCGGAACGGCAAAGAAGTAAGAGCAAGAAAGTTAGATGGGGATATAGGAAACTAATTGTAGAAGATGAAGAATACAGATGGAGTACCAAAGAAAAAGGATTAATGAGAACATAGAGGGGGCTTGGAGGAAGAAAGTGACAGCAAAAGAGAAGATGGAGAGAGGAAAGAGAGGGGGAGGGATACAGATACATTCAACAGAAGAAGAGACAAAAACGGTGGTAGAAAAAGGGATAAGGGAATGGGGAGGGGGGGCAATCGAAGGAGGAGGAAGGAATACAGGCAAGACGAGTGAAAGTAGAGGGAAAGAAAATGAAAGTAGTAACGATAATACAACAGAGTAGGAATGAAGGACTTAACAAATAAATTAGAATAATATGGTAGGAATTAAAGGAAAATGGGGATCGAAAAGACAAGAGGAACACAAGAGGTAAAGAGTACAACAAAGAGGGAGCACTGAGCAGTGTTATGGGAATTACCAGAAAGAAAGGTTGGAGAACTATAATTGGAAATATGGAGGTAGATTGGGACGTGCATCGACGGGTGATCGAAAAGTAGTGCGGACAGTTTGAATTTCCCGTATATCGAAACATTTATAAAGTTGGTAACATACCAAATGTCATTTATGTAAAAGCAGTGGTGGATCAATTTAATCACTAATACATAAATAAACTGCCTTCTAAACATGTTTGCCAATTGCTTAAGTAAAAAACGTTAAAAACTTAAAGTGCCCAATTTAAACTGTCTGCAGTTCTTTTTGATCACCCGATATATGAGTGGAAGAGGGGGATTGGTAATTGATTACACAGTTGTAGATGAAAAAATTTTGAAAGGAATAAAAAAGACACCGTGGATCTGAATAGAGGGAGAATATAGGAACAAGGAGAAGAAATAAAAGGGAACTCAGGGAAGTTGCCGATCTTCAGAAGAGGGAACAAATAGTGTATGCGAAATCATAGGGGAATATACTATAATGACAACAGCGTATAGAATAAAACGAAAAACTAAAAAGAAAAATGTAAAAGAAGAGGATATTGAAGGCAATACAAATTGACTTCAGAAAAGGGAAGGAAACGATGAACTGGATACCATACAGATTTGTGGAAAAGGAATTGGAAAAAAGAAAGGTGTTCGTGTGTTTCATGGACTTAAAGGCAGCATTTGACCAGGAACAAAGGACAGAATAAAAGAAATATATATAGAGAGAGACAGGAATGAGGGTAAGAATAGGATGGAAGGAATCTGAACTGTTTGGGATATGTAAAGGATTATAAGAGAGGGATGCTTAGCCCAACACTATTTAATCGCCACATAAGCGACATGGAAAAAGTTTTAAGACAGGGGCAAGGTGGAGTGAGAAGAAGAAAGATATGGTGTCTGGTATACGCGGACGACGCCGTGATCATAGCAACAGAGATAGAGCAGATAAAAGAAATAATGGGAAGAATGGAGCTAACTGTAGAACAGTCAAAGATGATGAGATTTAAGGGGGGGAGGGGAGAGAGAAGAAAAGGGAGATAGAATAGGAATGGAGTAAGGAAAGAATAAAAGAGGTAAAATAAATTCAATATTTGGAGTACCAAATGCAAAGAAACAATGGGGCAAATGCGCAAATAAAAGTAAAAGAAAAAAGGGGGTGGTGGGTATGAGACAGATGTAATTGGAGAGAGAGGGTTCAAGAATGTTTCAATAAGAAAGTATTCAATGTGTGTTGATGTACGGAACGGAGATACAGGGTTGAAAGAAATGGAAGGGAAAGGTGGAAACGATATGCCAAGCTGACGTGTAAGAAAAATGGATTGATACTGGCAGGGCTTTTATTTTTGAGGTAATGGGAATAGCATTAGTGAGCAAAAGAAGGCGGAGTTCGCTCGTAAAACCAATCAAGAATAAGGTTATTTTGTTTTACGAGGGAACTCCCCTTTCTCTAACTAGTTCTATTCCTATAAACCCAAGATTATAGCGGTCCTGGTAGTGAAAGCACTTAATTACTTAACTGAAATATGGACAAGGAAAACTATGTTCACTCTAATTTTCATTTTGAGCTCGATTTTAAATTACTTTCAAGTTGTAGTACATTACAGGAAAAGGGAAAAACTAACAAATCACTTCTAAAGCTCAGTCGAATTTTTTATACAGACTGTTTAGGTGCACGATGAAAAGTTCGCCGTACCCAACCCCATTTTTGAGTCTCTAATGTTTGCACCGACAAATTTAAGCGGAGCTTAGCTTAAACGAAGCTTAAAATCCATGGCAACCATTGTCTCAATAATCGTTGTGATGGATGTTAAGCTACGGCCATAAATCATTCAAGTTTTAATTTGGTAGTACCTATCCCCACTCGTATAATGTGTTGACGAACAGCTGCAATTATTGCTAAAAGATTCGATTATTGCACAGGTTTGTCAAGCTTTGTTAACTAGACTGAGTAGACGGTCATATGAGATCGAATGGATTTGAGGTAGAATGTAAGGCGGCAAACCGTCACTTCTGCCAAATTGAAAACTGAAAACGTACACCCCAAATGAGTAAAAATATTATATCAATGTCTCATTTCGATTTTGCTTATTTTGCATTAATGTATTACGAGCTGATGACGGTTCTACAGTGTGTAGAATTACTGTAACCTTCGTGTTAGTTGTATTATAATGGCGGGCCTAAGAACTAAGTACACTTGTGTCAAGTTAGCCCCCCACTCTTGGAATTTTCAGAATACTTTTATTGCAATCGTTTGTTGGTCGTTTGTTTGTGTTTTTTAGTTACATTTTCAAGTTTTTTGGTTGATCGTTATTGAATTATTCAAAATTCAAAAGTTTGGACGTTTAGTTAGGCCCCCCCTCCATGTTGCAATATTTTATTTGTTTAGTTGTAATCGTTTGTTGATCCCAGGTGTTATGCTACAACGCAGATACTCCCTATCAGCGTAGAAAAAAAGCAAAATTTATTAGAGTTGCTTTCCTACATTGAAAAGGTTTTGCCTTCTAAATAATATATAGCCAATCTATTACCTGAGACATACGAGTTGAAGAAGAAAGCGACGAGGAAGACGAGTTAAAAGTTTAAATATGAAAATATGTTAAAGTGAATAGGGATATATGTTTTGTTATTCAGTTTTTGTAATGTGTCAAAAGATATAAGTTTACTTCACATTGTCTATTTTTCATTATTTTAGTAATAAAAATTTATAATCTAAAAAACACTTATTCTATCTGATAAAATTTGATTTTAGCTTAAAAATTAATTAGGCAGGTGAAAATTAATGTAATCGATATTGTTTATTTACTCTTTCTCATTTAATGACTTATACCCCTCTCCACGCCTACCATCGAATTATAGTTTGATGTTTTCACTCCACCATCAGTAAAAGCTTATCGGGGGCTACCACATTCGCTTTGTCGACGTCCCGTTTACTCGCAATTCGGCTTTTGGTGAATTTCGCTAAAAACCCGGTACAAAATAGTACTCAATTTTTGGATACTTCTCATAGCTCGAGCTTCTATTGGCGACACGGGAAAAAGAGACCGCGATTCGAGCTCTAAGAAACTTTTGGGCGCCCAAAGTCGACTACCCCTCGAACCGCGCCGTGCAAAAGGTGGTTTATTTCGCACCCAGGAAATAACAATCCGTCATGCAGGACTTGTGCGCGTTAATTAGATCTTTTCGACGACACCTATTTGAAAATAATCGGAGAAAAACTGTAGAAGAAGAACTGAAAAATATTCAGGTTAGTATAACCCGCTCGGGGATGGCGCCCAGATATCATCGACCCCACATTTTGTAACCCCGTCCCTAAAGATGTTAATTACACGGCCCCGATAGCTATACATGTACACTCCTCGCCTTTTTACAAGCGTACTTCTATGGGCTCGCATTTACTGCCAGCCAGCCAGCCAAGTGAGATTACAAGCTACTTTTTTACAAATAAATGAGCAAAAATGCGCTAAAAATGGAAGTGGCAGGGTTGCCTTCCGTTAATCAGGAAACCTGACGAATATCAAACAGGACAGTATCCATAAGACCATCTAATGTTACCATTGGAGAAAACAGCAGTGTTATAAATTCTCTTCGAAATGTATCGGGAATAGATATAAATGCTGCTGAAAATTCTGAGGTGTCGGTACAAATTTATAAATATCCATATAGTCTGTCCATTTCTCGCGCCCCTTTCTCGACCATGTGTATACGTTTGTAAGCCTTACGAATGTTCCAGTTAAGTTAGTATACCGTTCAAAGTTCTTAAATAAACATTTTGATAGATGGACATTCGATATAGATTGTAGTACAATAAAAAAAGGTGAATTCATTATAAATTCTTTCGCCCAAGACTCAACACATCGCGGGAAATGCGATATATCAAAAATTCTTAGTGTTGTGTTTGTGTGTATTACATAATTAATAGATCTGTTTCAAAATGTTACCATTGTTTCATTAATAATATCATTGATTATTCATTTAATAAACAAGGCTAATAACGGGCAATCCTTTAATTGTACCGTTCTCTAAGCTGTACTGTTTTGCGCGATCAATCAAGTATGTATATCAATCCATGATTAAAAATTCCCCCAAAAATCGTGTTAGAATGCAAAAAGAAAGAAACTCATTCCCGCATCAAAATTGTTCTCAGAAGAATGACTTTTTATGCCAAACATAGACACATAGAAACAAATAAAAATGATGTATTGCATCATAAGTAATGTAAATTATTTATAACCATATATATTTTAGATATAGCAATTGAATACGGCGTATTATTTACCGGTTGACTTTGCACTATGCTCAATTTCTTCTCATTATGATTATAATAGTTTGCACAACTCTTATTTTCAACAATTATATCATTTCTCACTCACTCAGTAACCATTATCGAAATAAAAATAGAACAGATTCAATACAATTTAATGGTTTCGTTATTATTATGATAAGCTAAATGAGACAAAGCGCATCTATATAAGTAGGTTATCGTGTTTACCAAACTTAATTGTATACAAAAATTAGTAGGTATACTCATACAAAATGCGCGTTGCACTCTTGTGTTTCTTATTGGTCTGTGCCATTCTTCAGGTAAATATGTAGACGATGAAAAATTTCACCTATACATAGATCATTTCAGGCTTCATCTGTTGAATATCCTGAACAATTTCACGACGAACACAGTATCGCATGCACGAAGAAATTAAAAATGGATAAAAGTGATCTCAATAACATTATGGACGAGAGCTTTGACGTCTATCAGAATCCGACCGCTCGCTCCTACAAGAAGTGTATCTTCGAGGGGATGAATTTGGTGAAGGATGGGGAATTCGTAAGAGAAGCGACTGTAAATTATATTGCTACGAAGGTTGTTCCGTTTTACAAGCCCAACGTCCACGATCCCGCCGTGGAAGCCGGAAAGGCGTACGACCGGTGCGAACACGTCGAAGGTGGAAAAGATGGAGAGAGGATAGTCAACTTTATTAACTGCGTTAATGCGGAGCTCCGAAAATAATGACTCATACACAAGTTGTTACATTGTAAACTGTAACCAAATAAATTGGATCACTAGGTGCATATTATACTAGTTAGGCCCGGTTGTTTTTACTTTAAACTTTAACTGACAGAAACAGGATTGGTCAACTTAGCCAATCAAATCCTTTAACCCACAATTTAAACTGAAGTTTACACTGACATTGTACAACTTGTGGTTAAACCCGAAACGGGTTATAGGGTATATAGGTGCACGGTTGGTAAAGAAATACAATCCTTGATGGTTTTGGTTTTCCGGAGTTAGCATGGGGTGGATTCATGGAATAGGGGCAATCATGTTCGATCAATACCAATTATGGTTAAGTGTCTTCTCCCCTAGACTGTTTGATAAATCTTAAAACAATAATTGTGCCCATCTATAACTTATCTAGGGCCGAATCTTGACTATAGTTCAAGTTTGCGCACCATCTTATGGAATATTGAATGGAGTATTTTATAAAACATTAGTCCGCCCGTCCGTTTAGTGATTTTCCCTATGGTTTGCAGTTCTCGGAGTTACTTTTCAAAGCTGTCTAGATTGCTGATGTCAATTTTGACATATGACTTGCACGGACGTGGCAACAGCGCAAAGTCCAAAAACGCAATAAAAAGTTTTTGCTTTTTAAGGAATGTGGGAATATCAAAAAAGTAGAAAGAATAAAAGTGACGTGGAAATAGTCTCTTAGTAAGGAGGTATTTTTATATTTTTTAATTGAAATTAAATTAAATTAATATTTATATTTATATTTTTTCTAATTAAAAAATATGTAGTTATCAGTATGTTTGATAAGAAAAAAATGAGATAAATAGCGAAAACCGTTATCCAATCTTGAAAATGTATATTATATACTAGGCCATGGAATATCCCACATAGCATTCGATTTCTTATGTATATACATTTTAAATCCATAATGTACACGGAATATCCTGTCCATCATATGTATATATTATGTGTATTCATTATAGGATAGGCATATGTATTTTATGTTCAGTATGGATATTCTATAAATATACATTTTGGATGTGCTAAGTATATACATGGGATTATGTATTACCGACGTTACAAACGTTAGCGTCTCATTTTCTGTGAATTACGGCGATGAAGATAGTAAGGTGCTATTGCAAATACAGCTCATTTTTCTAAAATCAGGAGTGTTATTCTGCGAGTTATTAATGAATTTGTTTGTCTAATTTTGACAGTGAAAGTAATGATTTTTATTTCGTGTGTGCATGATCTAAAGTTGCAAATATGTGTTAGTGAGATGTAAAGACTGGATGGGAATTAATATAAGGACAAGAATGGCAGGTATGTTAGCAACCTATTTGTTATGAACTCGCGCTATTATAGTGTTGAACAAGAACACGATCAAAATGACTCAAGACTACAGTGTTAAATAAAACAATAATAATTTCTTAAGCACATTTTCCATTGTACACTAAGAGACTTAATAAACAAAAAGCTCCACTCCGTGAAAAGAATTTATTTATGAAGGTATAGACCAGAGCTGGGCAGAATACTTTCAAAAAGTATTTGAATACTAAATAGTAAATACTTTACACAAATCAAAGGTATTTGAATACTAAATACTTTTACGTCCAGCACAAGCGAATACTAGATACAGATACATTGAAAAGTATTCAAATACTTTAAAAAATAAGTATTCAAATACTTTAGAATGTATTCGAATACTTTCAAAAGTATTCTAATACTATCAAAGGTATTCGAATACTTTAAAAAGTATTCGAATACTTTGAAAAGTATTTCATTATCTTACTTTGAAAAGTATTCGAATACAGTAAAAAGTATTCAAATACTTGTCACTCAAATACATTAAAAATTTAAAATAGTATACTAGATAAAAGGCTTAATACTACTTAAAAATCAAGTTATACTTTGTATGGGGTTAGCTTTTTTTATATTTCTATTGTTATATACAAATTTAAGGGGAGTAAAAGTAATCATTTCAAACAGTTCCAAGGTTGGGCTACTAGTTCAAAAGTTACAGCCCTTTGAATTTTCTTTCGAAATTGGTTTCTAGTCTATAACTTTTGATTGAGAAGTCTGATCGAAAAAGTACGAATTGTTTCGGATTCTACGCACCAAAATTAATAAGAAAAAGTGTTTTCCCGAGAAATTTTGGTGTAGTCGATTTTTGGTAAAAAAGGAAGGTTATACACTGCCCTTTTTTGAGGCCCGAAAAAAGAAATTGTCTCAGATCGACCCGGAGAAAAAATTTTCTTATAGAATGTGGCCTGTAGAATCCATAATTTCAAACAGTTCCAAGATTGGGCTACTAGTTCAAAAGTTACAGCTCTTTGAATTTTCTTTCGAAATTGGTTTCTAGTCTATAACTTTTGATTGAGAAGTCTGATCAAAAAAGTACGAATTGTTTTGGATTCTACGCACCAAAATTAATAAGAAAAAGTGTTTTCCCGAGAAATTTTGGTGCAGTCGATTTTTGGTAAAAAAAGGAAGGTTATACACTGCGTTTTTTTGAGCCTCGAAGACAAAATTGTCCCATCTGGACCCGGAAAAAAATTTTTCTTATAAAATGTGGCCTGTAGAATCCATAATTTCAAACAGTTCCAAGATTGGGCTACTAGNCTTGCTGTCGAAATCGTCGCGTCGCGTATTTTGCCATTTCGGCCATACCTAGCGGTGACCTAACGCGCCTTTTGTTTCGCTAAGTCGGCCACAAATGGCTATCTTTTAGCGCTACCTAAAATCAAGAAATATTCGACATGAAAAATAAATTTTGTTTTTGTAGCACTTATCGACGGCTGCAGTTGGGAAAGTAACACCAGCCCCTCGCGAGAAAATTCGAGCTGGATCCGAAAAAAATTATTTTGCGTTCCCGGTCCCGGGCCGCAGAACTCATGCAGTTTTTAGGATAAAACATACGATACAACTGAATTCCCAACGATCCATCGAGATCTGTTTTTGGACTGTATAACTTTTTGACCCGCCAGTCACAGCACTTAGAAAATACCATTTTTTCACTCGTCAATAACAGGAAGTTCTGATGAAGTTTGCAAAACAAAACTTAACAGTAAATAAACAATTTTCAATTACATACGAGTATACCTAATAACACTTAATTTACAAATGTGTAATTAATGACACAATAAACCCGCACGGGCCAGTTTACTTGTCTATTTGCTTGTAGAGTTTTAGCATTGGAAATGCTTATGTTTTATATATGGTATTAATAATAATAATAATATTTATTGTGCTGTTGTGATGGTACACTTACACTTGTCATGGTAAAAAAATGTATATAACACGTAAAAAAAACAGTCAGACAAACGAAACTAACAAACATAAACTTCAACAAAGTTACACCCAATTATCACAAAACTCCTCAAATTCTTCAAAGGAGTAAAAAGAATACTGTAAAAGAGTTTGCTTTACTTTAGATTTAAAGGTATTCAACGGTAAATGCTTTATATCTGCGGGTAACCGGTTATACAATGACTGCGACTGGAATGTTATGCCATTCTGTGATTTGGCTAACCTACAAAACGACAATCGAAGATGATTTTTTAACCGGGTATTATAAGAATGCACTTCTGATTACGGCTTCGCCAAAGCAATATGTTTTTTAATGTAACACAATGCCTCCAGAATGTAGAGGCATGGAAACGTCAGGATTTTAAGTTCAGTAAATGATTTACGGCAATCATCCCTGAACTGCAAATTGGCTATGATTCGAACGGCCTTCCATTGGAGTCGAAATATATCTTTCCAAGGTGCAGTATGTCCCCAAGTCAATATTGCATATGATAAATTGCTTTGAATTAGTGCATAGTAAGCCGAACACATGACTTTAACCGAAGTATTATTCCTTAATCGCTTAAGTAAATATATAGATTTATTGATTTTCTTTGAAACCTCGTCACAGTGAAGATGGAAATTTAATTTTGAATCAAGAAAACATCCAAGAAAGGATGCACCTGAGAGTCCACAAATGGCGGTATTTGCTTTAAGTGTTACCGGCAGAATATTAGTTTTGCTTTCGTTCAGTTTTAATCTATTAGAGAGACACCATTCAGTCACATGTTTAATATTGTTCTGTACTTCACGAATATAGCAATATTTATATCTCGATCAACTGCAACCAGTGTAGCATCATCGGCGTAAAGAATGCAGTTAATTTTAGAAGATAATGCCAATGGAAGGTCATTAATATAGATTAAGAACAAGATAGGGCCTAGTATAGATCCTTGAGGGACGCCATGTTGCATGGGTAGCTTGTCAGATAAAGTAAGTATCTTGGGGTTATTAAGAAAATGCGATTCTTCGTATCTTGTTTTCTATAATACATCACAGGAAAAAAGAATGACGCGAAGGAGTCTTTTAGAGAAAGAAGTAGTCACTTTCGTCGGCACTCACCAAGTGTCAATTTCGATTTTTTTTCATTTTCCTGCAGAACTGGTTTGCCAGTGTATACACACGAGTTTGTTTTGTGTGCTATTTTGAATAAAATAACCACCGACATATTATACACGGTGTCCATTTTTCGAGTGGGGATCTCGCTTACCTGAAGAGATAGAGAGTTGGTTAAATGGGGCCAAAGTTGCGAATTTTCGTGCTGAATAATAATCTGAAAAGAAATTAAAAATATCTTTAGTAGTTTTGAAAATATCGCAAAAAAACATTATTCAGACACTTTTTAATTTTTCGGGAAGAGTGCTTTGGAAAAACAAAACGTTCTTTTATCGTGAACAAAAGTATGACAGTTTGATCCATCTGTCTGGTTAGAGCGTTGGCAGGGAACTAGTTGAGTTGAGATTTTCATCTGAATATAATTGAACCTTCGTTTTGCAAGAAAATTATAATTCAAATTAGAACAAAATACTTAAGAAGAAATAATATTTACGCAATAAATCTAGCACAAACGTAAATTACACTACTTGAAATAAGTTAACCTTTTGTTCACAACAAAAGAACGTTTTGCTTTTCCAAAGCACTCTTCGCAGAAAATTAAAATTGTGATTTTAGGAAAAATGTGTTACTGAACCACTATGTGTGATATATCGTTGTAAAGAGAAAAAAAGACGTAATCTCAAAATGTCAAAATCCAAAACGGCGCCCATAAGAAAAATTAAAGTTGCCACCTGTTTCTCCGTCATCTTAAAAACGGGATGCCATATTCGAAATCTCCATTAAAAAGTGTCTGAATAATGTGTTAATTAGAAATGTCTAGAACGATTAGTTTACTATGAAAAAATTAAAAACGAAAATCAGAAATGTTGTTTTTTTTGCGATATTTTCAAAACTATTGAAGATATTTTAAATTTCTTTTCAGATTATTATTCAACACGAAAATTCGCAACTTTGCCCTCATTTAACCAAATGTCTATCTCTTAAGATAAGCGAGATCCCCATAGAGACACTCGAAAAATGGACACCGTGTATATTTTTGAAATGAAGAGAAGATCTATTCAATTTTTCAAAAATATATAAAGGGGGAATGTTTCATTAAACATTTATCAAATTTGCATTTTTTACAAACTTTGCGATATTTATATTTGTTATTTTACTTCACATTTATGATAAACCCCACAACCTTTTTATGGAAAGTTTTTTCTCTCTTATTATAAACGCGCGACGCGTTGTCAATATACAAAATGACCCTGTATATCCAGCACATGGGCACATACTAGAAAGAAGAGGAAGAGGAAAAAGATTCAACAACAATAAAACAATAACCTCTTTGTAAAATAAGCTTAATTTACGTATAGTCAGGATATTACAATGCAAACATTTAAAGAATATCAAAGGATACCAAAATGGTCGTTTGGTATCCAACATCGGTCGGAATTAGAAAACGGATTTCCATGCACCATAAAATGTCAAAATATGCTAGCACATATGCACTCATAAGTTGCGAAGTATACGCTTAAATATGCACTAATTGGATTATAATTGGAACGAAAAACAGTAGAACATAATTGATGTATTTTTGGTATACCAAAAAATTTCCATAAAATGAACTTGTTAATGATTTCATAATCAATATGAATGTGTGCATGTCGCATTAACGTTAATAATTTATATGTCGCATTAATTATAGAAATTTTAGGCTGTTGATAGTACGTTATTGATCTAGATAAGGAAAAAATGTTCTCTGATTCCAGAATTTCAGAATTATTCCAAAACTGCGTCGGTGTTCTGAATAAAAAAAATACATGAAACTGCAGTCTCGGGCTTTCCGCCTGTTTCACTAGTGCGCCAATTTTTAAGTTTTGTGCATAAGTTTAAAGGCTTATTTCCATAGAAGGTCCCAATGTACCTACTCTTAGAATTAACATGATTTGTTTCAAAAAAACGTGTAATACAATTGCGAAAGCACAAACCGACTCCACAAATGATTCTGTGCTTTTCCAATTTAGCCAAAAAGGTAATTTTAATTAAAGACTGCCAAAAAACGAGATTCCGGTATCTGGTAAAAGCGAATTGATTTCACTAAATGTTATTTTCCTATCACTTGTTATTTGATCTAACGTGACCCTACATGATTTGGACGTTCAAACTCTTTTGACGTTATGATAAACTACTAATGAAATAAGACCACAGTTTGTTGTGCGGAAAACTATTTTAAAGATCTTTTGAACCATCAGCATATTTTGTTTTTTCACTAGAATAATGCAAAGGTAAAAAAAGTAACATTTTGAGAATTAACGCGAAGGGATTACTACTATTAGCTGGAATTATTTCTAACATTTACCTCCCTGTGTTTGAAGACTAAGTCAAGTAAGTAAAGAGAAATAAATCATTCACAGAAGCATTATTGTAATAGAGTGTCAAATGGCATCAAAGGGTTGGTAATAATCTACAACAAATTCGTACAAATAGGTCATAGATCAACATGCACGTTTCGCATTGGTATCTAACCGTTATCAGTGCCTTCTTTAAGGTAGGTTGCCAAAAATTGAAAACCAATTTTCAAAGTTTCCTAATTTTAGGTTTCAGCGGTGGAATTTCCTAAGCATTTTATGGAAGACAACATTAACAAATGCCTGAAAGAGTTAAACCATACCGAAAGTGACCTAAACAATGTTATGGACGATGCTTACTACATTCTTCACAATCCGATCGCTCGCTCCCACAAGAAGTGTATGTTTACGAGGTTGAACATGCTGAAAGATGGCAAATTCGTTAAGGAACCGTCGGTTGATTATCTTGCCGCGAAGGTTGTGCCGTTTTACAATCCCAACGCCAGAAATCATGCTGCGGAAGCCGCAAAGGTCTACGACTTGTGCGTATACGTTAAGGGTGCTGAAGACGGGGAGAGGGTTGTTAATTTTGCGAACTGTGTCATCGATGAGATTCGCAAGCTTTGACTAAATTCAGATTTAGTTGATTGTACTACCTACTGGCAAACTAGGACGTTTTAACCAATATATTTGCATTTGTACTTCAACCAAAAATAAAGTGGATTTGCCTTGATATAGGATGATTCATAAATTTCCTATAAGCAAGGATTTTTCTATGGAACCTTTGGATATTTCCACATTTTCTTGTAGTCTTTAAAACTCTTGTTTGTTCCCCGAAATGGTGTTGAGGGCAACAAGCACCCGAGAGATGAGAACCAACTTTAGTCCTGTGGTATATACGCTATCTTTTTACTCCGATAATCCATTACAACAATTTCAATATTAAAGCCCAAATTTAAAAGAAAAAAGTTTGATTGTAGAATCCAAATCTATATGTCGTTGAAAACTCTGCAGAAGTAGATAAATGTGGAATTTACTGCACTTTCAAAAAGATCTACTTAGAGAGAGAGAGAGAGAGAATCGATTGCTAGTTTCACTCTTCGGTTGAACAAGGAGCAACATACTGCTAGTACGGCAATTTTGAGGCCGCATGTTGATCTAACGGCTACTGAAAGCCAATGAATCGAGGGGGATGTGTAACGAGATCATCTCTAGAAAACCAGAGAGCTTCCCGTACGAGATTGCGCACGTACTTGAAGACACCTGTAACATCGCAGACGTCGGAACTTGATTTCAAATCCAGATCTGACCAATCGAATTAGTTATGTAAAGCCATCATCCCGGAAGAGCATCAACCAACAGCCATGCGATAGATCGATAAACCGATAGCCAAGAGCCGACCAACCCAAATAACATAAGTACGTACATTGCAAATACACGGTACGTACAGCGCTGGATTTCCCGACGTATGTACAGTTCACGTACACTTACGGTTCATATACGTACAGGGTGAGTCAACGATTGCGCGGAGTAACTTAATGTCTTGAAGATAAGATGTTTCGATAGAGTGCTTTTGTATTATGATATGGTTGAATATTCTCCAAATTTTAAAAATATTTGGAATTATACAAGGTGCGCTCACAAAGTTGGGCGCCAAAATGGTACATTTTTTTAAATAGAACCCCCTGTATTTGAATGCATTTTTAAATTTTACGTGTAATTGTACGTCTTTTTTTATTATATGGTTAATATCCGAAAAGCTAGTTTTAAAGATAATTCGATGTTTAAGAAAAATTGGGAATTTGCAAGCGTCCGTATATTGTCAAAATTATTACTTAAATTTCCAGGTTTTATATCTTTTATCCTGGGTTAAGTAAAAGTCAAATAAATACATCTACTATAAAACATTAAAAAAATAGCTTACAGGGTGTTTTTTTCTAGATCCAAAGCTACAAAACTTCATACTAAAATATCTCACTTTCTTTTAATGGAACACCCTGTGTATTTTTCTGTCATCTTTTAGCTTCTCCAAAAACCTTCAACTTTTGATAATAATATCTCTGCTAGTTTTAGAAACATCTTGGTTTTCCTGGTTTTTATATTCTGATCTTAAATAAGTTATATGTAATTTACATAATAGTAAGGTGAACATGCAAAAAATTTTTATCTATCTCGTCCAAAAGGCAAATCCTATCGATTAATTTATTTTTCAAACAATTTATTTTAAGTCCAAGAACTAGAGAATAAGTAAAAACATTTGATTACAAAGCAAATTTAATTTAACTCCCAATGTCATCCAGTCAGTGATATTTAGTTTAATTTTTTTCATATTCACCTCGTTATTATGTAAATTAGAACTTATTTCAGATTAAAATATAAAAAGTAGAAAAATCAAGATATTTATTTAGGTTTTTACTATCAAATTTATTCTCCAGTTTTTATAGACTTAAATGAATTATTAGAAAGATGAATTAATAAATATGATTTTAGATTTGAACGAGGCAGATAAAAATTGAATTTTTTTGCATGGCCACCTCACTATTATGTAAATTACATACAGTGTGTCCCAGGATGAACTGAACAAGAGGGAAAAATTTTTTAATTTTAACTTTACGCAAAAATGTCATTCTTTTTCTTAAGCTCTAAGGTGTCTTTTTTAACTTGATTTACTTATCAGGTTGCCATGGAAGATACAATGATAGTCTGATTTAATCAAGAACATGCAACTTAGAAAAATTTCCGCTGTAGATTTTGCGTTTTCTGTAATTTTCTCAGGTGCTAAAAGAAATATCTAGATTTTTATTTCAGAATAGGTGGTTTTGAGGCAAGCAAAAATTTTTATAAAGAATGACATTTTTGCGTAAAGTTAAAATTTTTTCCCTCTTGTTCAGTCCATCTGGGGACACACTGTATAACTTATTTAAGATTAGAATATAAAAACCAGGAAAACCAAGATATTTCGAAAACTATCAGAGATAGGTATAGGTCATTATTATAAAAAGTTTAGGGTTTTTGGAGGAGCTAAAAGATGACAGAAAAATACTTAGGGTGTTCCATTTAAAAAAAGTGAGATTTTTTAATATGAAGTTTTGTAACCTTGGATCTAGAAAAAAACACCCTGTAAGCTATTTTTTTAATGTTTTATAGTAGATGTATTTATTTGACTTTTACTTAACCCAGGATAAAAGATAAAACCTGGAATCAAAATTTAAGTAATAATTTTGACAATATACTGACGCTTGCAAATGCCCAATTTTTCTTACAAATCGAATTATCTTTAAAGCTTTTCGGATATTATCCATATAATAAAAAAGACGTACAATTACACGTAGAATTCAAAAATGCACTCAAATACAGGGGGTTCTATTAAAAAAATGTACCATTTGGGCGCCCTAGTTTTTGGGTGCACCCTGTATAATTAAATATTTTTAAAATGTGGAGAATATTCAACCATACTATAATACAAAAGCACTCTATCAAAAAATCTTATCTTCAAGGCATTAAGTTACTCCGCGCAATCGTTGCCTCACCCTGTACATTATTCTTCACTGGCATTAATTATAGATGTTTTTTAATATCAACAAATACTTAACTTGATGGCATGGATCAGAAGTTACAGTTGGAAACGGTAACACTAAATTATTGTAAAATTCAAATATTTAGAAGTACCTAAGATTCAAGATGCAGAAAAGTGTGCTGTCAGAATGATACAACAGGAACCTTTTTCTAATTTACAAGACAAAGTCCTACGACCTCTTAGAACAAAAATGAACCCTCATGGCATTTGAACGGTAAAAACATAAGTCGTAATAAGATAAACTTTACAATCCCTATCACTCTCCCATCGAATCAATCTCTGATACCTCATTGTCGTATTGAAAATTGTCATGTTGGTACCAAGGTAAACTTTCACTTCTGAGAGAAAGTTTTTAGATCATCAAAGGAGGGAAAACAATCAGAAATGCTATTTCCACATATACTGTGTGTACTTTATGTTTTTCCAGCAGACCCAGCGCACTTCGTATCGCCTTTGGGAAATATCGTTTTCTTGGATGGGACATACGCTCGGTTTCAGCGGCTGCGCCGCCTCACCTCGCACACTCTCCGAACTTTACACCGATTTATTTATATGAAAACCTTCGCGGGCATACATGCAATCATTAATTTTTATTTATTACGAATATTTATTTTTATTTATATAGATCTTGTGGTGGAACCCAACAAAAGATAGCATTAGTTGTGAATTTAAACACATCCATAGAACCTTCGTTTCCTACAGTAACTCCCAAGCCATTTCCAAAAAACTAGATTATATAGAATACTGATCCTATAAACTTTAACTCAAAAAGGCGTCAATATACCTCGAGCTTCAAAGTTTCCTGTCTCAAATAAAAAAAATGTTATTGTTAACTGAGGTTGTATAAACAAGTTTTTGTATTTTATTGAACTTTTCCCAAACCCTTATTGTTTTGTTGATAACAATTCCTGGTAGAATCATGGTGATAAGCGTACTTCTCCGTAACGAGACCAGTAGTAGGTTAAAGTTCAAACTTGCAACTGACTGGTCTCCAATTAGAGTATACTTTATTGGTTGGAAAGTATCAAGACGGGCAACATGTCAGCAGTTCTATGGCGTATAACACTCCTGTGCGTTTTGCTCCAGGTTAGTTACCAGTGATGTAAGTGAGCATTTCTTGATCTTTCCGTTTAGGCGACCCACGTCCTCTCGGAATATTTTGATAACGAACATGCGCAACGTTGCCGGGAGGAGAACAAGGTGGAAATTTCCGACCTCGAGGGAGTTTTCGACGAGAACGATATCGTCGTCCGAAGCGATTCCCGCTTGCACGCCCTAATGTTGTGCATGTATCAAAGGCAGAATCTTATTAAAGACGGCAAATATGTGAGGGATGCCGTTATAAAACATATTGCTGAAAGGCCGACACCGATAGATGTTGCCGAGAAGGTATTTGACAAGTGTAGAACCGAAGATGAGGAAGTGACCGGGGAGATCGCAATTAATTTACGCAACTGCCTTATAAAAGAAATTGGAGAATATTTTGCGAGCGTTAAAGGGTCAGAGAGTAATGATACTCGTAATCATTGATATAATTAAACAAATAAGTTGAAGATACTGTTTTAATTGGTATTCCTGCTATATTGTAAACATTGTGGCTAGATAGCACTGATAATAAACGTTTAACGCTCTTTTGTTTTTTTATATTTTGTTCCCAAGGGGAAAGTACAGCGCGACCAGACAGTTGTTCTTCGACATCAATTCCACATAATTTTGGAAAAAAATGCATTTCAGAAGGACTCGCTCGAAAGGACTGCCAGATTTATAACATTTGAAGCGGAAGGGCCGCCTCTGATTCACAGTTTTCTAAATAAGCTAACATTAACAACAATATCCCAAATAACACAATTACGTACATTGCAAATACAAAATACATAGTACGTACATGGTACGTTATTTTTACACTACTTTGTACAAGCTAGATACGTATTCCGCCGTAGGTACATTAGACATACTGTTATGTATGTATAATGTACTAATTACTCTTGCTCCCGTACATAGTACGTACGGCAAAGTACGTACCTAGTATGTCAGTGGTGCAAAAATAACGTACCATTGTACGTGCAATGTACGTATGTACATAAACCATAAGTGTACCTCCGTAAATCCATGGCTGTACGTACTATGTATTTGCAATGTACGTCCTTGTGTTATTTGAGAAGTAGC